ACTTCATTCTGTATTGAGAATGTGCAGTTTGGAAACTGACTAAAAGGAAAATCTGAAATCCAAACTTGAATAGTTTGAGATTGCACAAAGAATAACATCTCATTGTATGAAAAAAGCGTAATCCTTTTTTTTTTTTTTAATTTTGCCTTTTCTGCAATAAATAGCTACTTGAGTAGGCGTTACAGTCTGCACAGGAGTTTCCTGCAGAGAGTTTGCTGCAGATTTGTTAGCATTAAAGGATACCTTGGAAGGATTAGGGTAAGACTCTTAGCAGACGAAGTCTCTAGAAGGCATTCTTGATAACAAGTGACTTGGCGTGGCTTTTGACCTTACCCTTTAAAGTGTTGACATCAAAATAATTATGAAGTACCATGGAAAAATCAAATGTTTAAATGACTCCCACCAATTAAGAAGTTTTCCAAATGTGTAAATCAAGTATTATACTTCTAGAAGTCCCTGCTGGTGGTTCTTCTTCATGATAATGCCATAAAGTATTTTTCAAACCTGCTGAACTGTATCTTGGTCCAGAGATTAATCTTACCTGAATGGAAGGGAGATCAATAAAGAATGACATGAAAACCAAAGGTAGAAGACTTCTGGATCTGACTACTCCCAGTCCTCTTTTGGTTTCTCTACTTTGCACATCACCCTTTGATTCACACGAAAAGCCTTGCTTTCCTGTTGCCAGATGCCGTATTTCCCATGCTATCCGCAATGATGCATCTCCACTAGTGTTAGCGTAGTTCACCGTGAGCACTTTCCTATCATCTCTGTGCAGGTGAGCCAAAAAGGTTTATATGAGGTTTGTGGTCAAAGTATATCGGCCCACTGACATTGTCCCACTTTCATTCTTCAAGCTGCTGTTGAGGTAGCAGTGGGGAGCACTTTAGGAGAAAGAAAATGCAAGTCACACTGCAACCACCCTTACAAACAGACCTTAAGAAGTGATTAGATAGTATTCTGAGTTCTGTTTTAAAAAGAACTAGCAAATTTTTGCTGGACTTTGATCCCCACTGGAGAACAATGACATCTGTCTGAAGGGAAAATTTTGGTTAAACCTTGCAAATGGTTGTTGCTTTTCTGTTTGTATTTCTGAATGTTTCTTCCTTTGCAGCCCAGTGTCAGTTTGCAGGAGGAGGAAATCACTATGGCAGCAAGCTGCTTCCCAGACGTATCAAAGGAACCTGCCAAGTTTCGTAGGGATATTGTATGTGGCTCGCAGATTTTCTTTTGTTTGTCACGTAATCAGTTGGAAATACTGGTATGTGAACCAGGGCTTCACACTCGTTACATTCTGTCCCTGGCAGAGCTGCTGTATGTTTCCCTGTCTGTGTTAGTATTGTACTTGTTCTTGAGAGGACAAAAAGGAATCAGAAGGGCAAAAGCCTTCTTAATTTGCTTCTGAAGACAGAGGTCTCATCATGCCTGTTGCACTCGAGTACTGATATAAACCTAAGTAGCAGCCTCCTGGCAGTGTTCAGATGTAATTTTCTGGGACCGTTTCATTTGTTTTTTTCATTGGAAAGTCAGATGGGCTCACTAGAGTCGGTAACACACATCAGTCTTATCTATACTGCAGGACTGAGCCATTTTCAGTCATGTTAAGGGGCAATACCCCCAGCAGAACGACTATAGTTTTTCAGCCAGCCAGCCCTAATGGGAGCAGGGAAACAGGAATACATGTTCCTATTGTAGGATGTCTTATTGTCATTGGGAAAACACCTGCAATTTTGGCGCGTGCTTACTTCAATCTGCCAAATTAACTTCCTAGCTCTGGTTCTGACTCATTTTTTCAAATCACATGTGATAGATGTTGGGAAGCCATACGTGGTCACTGATTATCCACTCTTCTAGCCTGTGTGCTGTGGGAGTGTGACCGTACAGTCGAAATGCTTGCCCCTCTGTGCTGCGTGTCTTTAGGGAGCACCCCTGGGTCTGATTTTTGTGGCATCCCTACAGGTATTCACTTCCGCAGTGCAGGCAAGTCCTGAGCCTGCAGCTAAATCAGTTTGTTGTCATGTTATTGACATCAGGTGAAGACAATTACTTAGCACCTTTTCTCGCAAGTCTGTTGTTTCATTTTTGGGACCCCCGTTGCAGAATACAGGTGGTGCTCCATGCCTGCAGAATGCATTTTGATGTAAGCCAGTTTTGTGATTATTTAATGCAAGTTAGAGCCTACTCTATTGATACCATATCAAATAACCAAGTTCATTTTCACCTGTGTTTGGAGCCTCAGTAAAACACTAAGAATTGTTCTTTAGAGGCATCCATTTCTTTCTACTAACTGTAGGGGAAACATAAATTTCTAGCTTAAGTGCTTTGAGTCACTCTGTTGTACTGTCTACTTTCACAGAGCTTAAATAAGTCATTTGAATCCTGCCCTTATTCTTTATAGGGCCTGATTTAGAGTCTTATTGCATTGCTCTTTTGTTACTTTCTGTTTTCCCCCCTCTTGCATCAACAACAAGAAATAAAACCTTATTTCAGTGTAGTTCCACAAGTAATGTGCAGAAATAGGGCAAATACATAGGAAATCAGGATAGATCCCAAAAGGGCCTCATGGCAAATTCTGCTCCAACTTCAAAAGGTGCCATTTACATAATGCAACATCTTCACTCAAATGAATAAACCATGATTAAATGTAAGACATAAAAGACAAAAGGTCTTGAATTTAAATAATAGGCGCATAAAGATTAAAATAAAAACATTGGAAGAGTGATATTGGTTGATGAAGATGTGAAATTGAAGCTTGTTTCTGATGCACATTATCAGGAATTTCCCCTCTTGTGTGGAGCAAGAGGCAGGTTCATATTAGCTTAATTTCCATTGCCCCTCATGCTTCGTTTTGGTTTATTGCATTGCTAGGCCCTCTCTGCTCTCCTCTCCTGCTTCACTCTGCTTGTTTAAGATTGTAAATAACTTGGAAAAACTCCTTCTCTAAGACAAGAATAGACACAGGAGGTGTCTGTTCTTTTTTGTGAGCTCAGACTTGCACCACTAACTTGTATGGACCTCTCTAGCAACTCTAACTCTTATAAGAAAACAATACTTCAATACCTTATTTCCATTAAGAGAGAGCTTGCTTTTTTCCCTAGTATTGTATGACTTTATTTTTTTAAAGTGTTGAGTGTCTCCCTCTGTTCTAACTGAAGGCTTTAATCAAGCTGCAAGTGCTTCCCTATATAGAATTTCTGTAACCTGCCACCTTCTGTAGGTTTCTCTTCTTAAGTAAGTTTTCAATCCAGTTACGCCTGTTTTATATATATATGTAATAAATGGCTCAGTCTTCAAAATAGGACTATAATCAAAGTTTACAATTTATTAAAGGAATAGAGGTAAGCAAACAGCGCTGGGTGCGCCAGGAGTCTCTGCTCCACCAAGATGCACACCAATTACATCAAGCAGCTGATTTTTATGCTCCTAGGCTAATACATATTCATTACTACTTTTTAAAAAAAAAAACACAGGGTTATTATAATTAGTTTCTGGAGTCCAAACCGTCCTACTGGAGCATGCGTATCAGTCTCTGGTGGTCCCTCTGGGGGTCTCTCGTGCTGAAGGCTCATAGTCTTCCTCCCTCTTGTCCTTCTCCTTTGTCCAGCTTGGCTGTATGTCAGAGACTTGTGCAGCGTCCCCTGCAAGCTTTGTCTTTTAGCTGTTCTTCAGCTCTCCCCATCTCCTTAATCTCCTGGCCAGATATCAGAGACTTGCATAGTGTCCCATGCAATAGTCATAATAGTTAGCAGTTATTCTGAACCCCCCTCCGCCCCCCCCCCAAATATCAGAGACTTCAAGGAAAAGCCTACAAATACATTTCCCTTCAAGCTCTCTATTGACACGAATTGCTAAAACATTCCTTTGCAAGATACAAGAACTATATACATTAACCACTCTGTTTTTCTTAGACTTGTGGTTACACAAGGGTATGTAAGACAGAAGGTCACATTCATCATACCATGCGGCCCTAGCATTGTTCTATATTGACACGAATTAGATGAACATATCTCACATACATATTTTATTTTGTTTTTCTTATGAAGTTTTTGGGAAAACTACAACTTCTAGTAGCTACCCCTTCCATCCCACCACCCGCAGGTCTCTACTCCCTTTAAGCATTCCTTAGCAGGAGCACAGTTTCTTTTTAAGCTACAAGTAGCCCAGAAAATGCACTCCTGCAGCTTTCACTCACTATAGTTGTTGCACATATTTCCATGAACTGCTAGATTAAAGGAAACTGGTTTCTGAAATGTTAAACATTAGCAAAGCTCACCTAGGTTATGCTTGATATGTCTTCTGTTACAAATAGAAATGAGGCTACTGTGGAGAAATAAAACATTGAGACTTTAAATCCTTTTTCTTTCTTTCTGCTACTTGATGCACTGCATATCCTGCCATATCATCATTTTTCAAACTACTTTGTTTCCTTTGCAAATCTTTGCAATTTTTTTTTTTACTTTTTTATTATTTAAACACATGCAATCAGACTTCATGACTACTCTTACAGTGCCTTTTAAGCACTAGTCAGCCATACTATTCCTCTAATGGAATGTGTCGTGCTAAATTCTGGCTGTTCTTAGAACAGATAATGTCAAGACTCTCCGAGGAAGAAGCAAAGGTCCTTTCTACTTTTCCAAGGTTTGTTGTACCATTGCCTTTAGTCATCTTTCCTATTGTCAACTGGTACCCAAGTTATTTCATTTTGGTCTCTTTTTCTTCATCAGATGATGGATAGATAAAGTTCATCACTAGTTCTACCTTACTGTGCCTTATATACTGCAACAAACCTGAGGTAACATTGTCCTTTAGCATCCCAGCCTATTGTGTTGATGCTATGAAGACCAAAACAATTATGATGGGTCTAAGCCAGTTCCTCACAGAAAAATTCTTCCTTGGTCATTGCAGTTGCTACCAGGCACATAGCTGTTGCTCTGTTGCTCATCCTCCTTTTTTATTATTTTTTTTATTTCCTTTTTTTTTTTTTTTTTTTTTTTTCCCAGGGTGACTATGCTTAAGGGAGGAGGATGTGTCCAACTTTCACACAGGAAGCAGATGTTTGGATTCTGGGTGCTGCTTCAGTCCATGTTCATTTCTTAAACCACAGGAGAGTGTTCCAAAGGCTGAGTGATAAGCTTGAATGGAATGGGATCCTGCTCCCCTGCTTTCAAAGGTGGGAATGGTCCAGAAGGATGGATATGTCTAGAGTACCCAGGACTGATGACTTTTAATTTTTCTATACCTCAAATGTCAAGATGTCCTTTCTGTTACAGATTATTTCACGTACTTCAAAGGTACTTGCTGCAGAGTAAGCTCTTCACAAGAAATGCCCTTTCAGTTAAGGACTTTTCAGTATTTTTGTTCAGGTCAATCAGACCCTGATAGTAACCAGCTTTCAGAGTGATTCAGCTACCAGGAAAAACATATATCTAAGACCCAAGTATAAGTAGCTGGGAATAGAACACAACAGTTTGCTGTTTCCATATTTATAAGATATTTGTAATTTTCTTTAAAAGATGAGTAGTCTCCTTTTTTTTTTTTTTTTTTTTCTTCCAAAATTATGCTTTGCTATAATTAGAGGAGGCTGCAGGCATACTTTCAGAAAAGCATTACCCTAGTTATACCAAGTTTACTGCAGTCAGTGAATCAGAATCCAGGTCGTGGTGTTTTACGTGCATATAAGGGAAATTGTTCTGCTTTATATCTAGTTACAGTAAGACTAGCATGTCACTGGGAGCTTTGCCAGGGGAAATTTGTATGTCTGATACTTAAGAGATTAGAGCTGCGTTAGAAATTCTTTAGTTACTAAAATGCTCTTGAACCTTAATGATACAGACATGGGCAGAAAAGATTTCAGTAGTATAACTGCACACATTTCAAAGTTTAGAAAAGCGTAATGTTAAAGTTCAGCACACCTGCAGAATCCATGGGGTCTTCAGTCCCTCATAGGCTTCCATAAGAACTAAATGATGGAGCAAATCCAAATAAAGGAGAATGTTGTTTCCTTTGTATAGGATAGTGTCAGACCATAGAGGGGAAGGAAGAATAAATCATACTTGAGAATTTGTAGCTCGCTCTTTTTTTTTTTTTTTTTTTTTTTTTTTTTTTTTTTTAATATATGACATGTGAAGGATTAATTTAACTTGTGGCTTCCTTTTTTTTCTTTCTTTCTTTTTTTTTTTTTTTTTTCTTTCTTCTCTCTTTTATATGTGGATTGTCTATCCTGGAAGTGTTTACTAGAGAGTAAGTCCCAGAGCAATGGAAAAGGATTTCATCAGGATGCTAAAATATTAGATTTAATTAATTTTCCCATTTATATGGTAGGCAAAAAGTTTGGAGAATGTGTGAGATGCTATGAGAAGAAAAAAATAAGGTAAAAAATGATGGAAAGGAGAAGGGAAGGAGAACTTATTGATTTTTTTTTTTTTTTTTTTTTTTTTTTTTTTTTTTTTTTTTTTTTTTTTTGTGTAGTTGTTACTCCCAAATGGATTAGAGGAGGCATCCTAGAGGAATTAAGGATAGGGAGGAGGGAATCACCAATCTGATTTATAAGCTAGATCAATAACAGAGCAGTCTTGAACTGGGAAAATGCCAAAATGTTTCTGCTTCCAGCCTGCCAATCTCCTTAACTTTTCTTTGTATACTCAGATGATATGTTATAATAGATACAATACCATTTATTTAATTATTTCCATTAAGCATCACATTCAGATACTGGACAAGACTCATGAACGTAAACTTCATCTTCTTTTTATAGAGAAGTGGCAGCCAGAATTCTGTCACTGTTTCAATATTAAAAGACTACTAACATCTTATTCTTGGCTTTGAAGGTTGATGTCGTTGGTTCTATGATAATAGACAATAATGACAAACATGAAGAAGGCAATGCATTTTTACATAGCACTTGAAATTAGTATAGGAAACAAATTTACTTGTGTTAATGTTTTGATAAAAATAAATATTTAGACAGATGTGTTGAATGGGTCAGGAAATAGTTTCTGATATGAGTTCTGACAATGAAAGCTTCAGTGAGTGCCAGAGCAGAACACCTATATGGTGCTTCTCCTTTCACAACAGGTTAAGCAGCACGCCAATATTCTCTCCCTGCCAGAGTGGGAATAAAGGAAAAGTGTTTCTGCAAGGAGGGAAAATGCACAACTACTGTTAAGTCAAGTAGTTCCGTGAGACATGGGATCCATCTGTTGAACAATAGCTTCTTAAGGTTTATGTCTCTTGATTTTTCTGATGCCTAAATGTTTCAGGTTTTGAGAGAATCTTTTCCTGTCTTTGAGAAGTTTGTCTTCCTTCTATAAGGATTTCTAGGTTGTACGTATGCAGCCTTTTTGGGTTATGGGCTAATCTGCTTTCTTCTGTTCTTTCTTTTTCTTTAACCATGTAGGAACTAAATACCTTTCTCCCCTTCTAGCTTGTTTGGTTGAAACTGGCCATCAGGTCCTGGGATACATGTGGAAAACCAGACAAAATGGTAATGCATAACCTTTCCAGGCCAGTGACATGAATGGGAATATTCACTTTACATTTCCTTTTGCCAGGCTCGAAACACGCTGTCAAGATTGGTTGGTAGCTTTAGCATTCAACAAGGCAGCTGAGCAACTATATCTGAACCAATTACTATGGCTTTAGTGGGATTGGGCAAAAAGGCAGTCCAATTCAAACTGCTTTATTGGCATGACTAGTACTGCAAGCTTTGCCAAAAGGCATAGCGCCACCGGGGATTTGAGAGATTCAACATGTCAAAATGAATTCGGTCTTAAAATAGCTGCCATTTGATACTACTTTATTCTGCAATGATTAGAATTGGAGAAGGTTTTGATCTTTGTTCCTAACCTTGGAGGTTCAGACAAATAGTCTTGGTGCTGGCCACTTACCCCTGCGTCAAGCTCTGCAGATGGGGAATAAAGGAAAGCTCAGGCTTTTCATCTAAAATCAGACAAAGACCGAACAATAAGATTCCTTTCAGTGTCTAGAGAGAGACTAGAAAGTACAATTTGGTTTAGGACACCAGGCACGAATCCCCCAACAGGGTCTTTTCTAAAACTGAGAGAAAGGCAAAAGCCTTGCAAATAGCCTGTTAATTAGCGAGTAATTGCTGTAATGGAAAAGAGCTCAGTTAGCCGAAATCTGTGGTCAGTATTTAGAATGACAATGCAAAGAGTTAAATCCTATTTTCTTTTAGTCCTATATTAAAACAACATCAAACAATGCTCCAGAAAATGTATGTAAATTATGAACAGGCTGTTTTGTACTTCTCAGATTGTAGTGTTGTGTACTGGAAAATGTTAAGCTGATAAAGAGTAAAGGGCTGCACTATTTTAAGCTCTCTTATCCAGTTAGCTGACTAAAACTGTTTTACAGCTAGAACAGAGCAGCTGGGCTGGTACACATAGCTATTCATCAGTGACTGTAAATCTGTGAAAAAGAGCAGGGAAACAACAAGCTGGGAATAGTTTCTGTCAAGCCCACAACATCTGAAGAATTTGTAGTTAGAAAACCCCACTGATGCTCAGAAAGCACAGATATCTGCCAGTCCTCCAAGATTTTTCGAAGCGAGCATGTGCTGTTTTTCTGAAGTTCCTATGTGCCTTCTAAAAAAGAAGAGGGGGGGGGGAACGACGATAGAAAGAAGGAACATGCTGTACTGAACAGTGAAGCAACGAAGCCAGCACTGAAAGGAGGAAAAAAAAAAAAAAAAAAAACCACAATTCAGGCAGGGACACTTCTGCTATCTCCCGACTTGTTATAGTTTGCACGTAACATGAAAGTTAAACACATTTTTCTTTATTCCTCTTGATGTTTTAATGTCAGTGCTAGGAGGTTGATTCCTGGCCTGTTGCTGCCACCTAAACCCCACGAACAGGTCATGGAGTTTATAACAGGGGGTCTTCCCATGGCAGGTCATCTCCTGTCAGATGTAGCCTTTAACCTTATCTGTGGCTTTTAACCTGGGCTGTGTCTTTTAGTCACTGTAAGTGTCTCAGTAGTGTGATAATGTGTGCCTCAGCTTCCAGATCCTCAATTAAGATACTGCAAAACCAGAAATTTACCACTTCAGGTATCCTTTCCCACAAAGAGCCCCTTCCTAGCACTTAAGCTGCTACTTTTGGACTTTACACAGGATTTTTTACCACGTTGATGTTTACTAGAATGAATGAAGGAATTCTGAAAACAGATCTGTATTCACAGAGTATGGAGCGGAGTTAAACCAGACCTAATTGGAACTATAAATATTTTTATTTTATTTTGCTGTGTGGAAAACAAAAAAACCACAATACAGTCTCTCTTAAATATCAAAATGTACTATGAACTGCTAAGTTATACTCATAAAAAAAAGTGAAGAAACATGTAAAGGAAGCAATACTAATCTCTGGTTTGGGGTGGCTGTGAAATTTTGGATCCCTTCTTGTAGGGATGATGATTTCAAATTCCAAGTACCTTTACAACTTACATTAAATAAAATCAGCATTCCTGAGGCCAAAAAGTATAATTTTTCAGAGAAAGGCTACCTACCTATGGAGGACACAAAGTGATGCAAAGTGGTAATGCTGTGGGATGAGGGCACTGTGAAATCTCTGCTTTTGTCTTGAACAAGACTTGAATGGATGTGAAACATGATGTTGGACAAAAAGCATGAAAACCGCCTTTGTGGGGGTCTTTTAAACTTGCTTCCTTTGTAGATGTCTTGCTGCAGATTTCTGTTTTTCACCTCTGCTTTCACTTTAGCATATGATTCAACTGGGAAAACTCCTACTTGAAGAAAATGCCAATGTTTTGCTCCTCAGGCCTCTCCCCACCCCCTTGACATGAGGCTGGGATGGGGAGAGGCTGCAGTGCTTCAGCTGTGCGTAACTGAGCTGATGGAAAGCCACAGTGGCCTTACCCAGATATCTGTCACTTAGATGTGTGCATCTCCAAAAATTGCTGTAACTTGTGGCCAGGGGTGGCCTTCGCTGCTTGGAGTGGCCTGTGGGTGGGGAGGTGCAGCACAGCATTCAGCCCTGGTCCCTGCAGAACTGCCAGCTCTGCTTCCTCAGCTGGCCCTGGCCAGAGCTGACCTCTGAGGAGCTCCTTGTGTGTGTGTGTAAACTTATTGGATTGCCTCCTGTGAGCTTTTGTTGGTTCCTGCAAAGGGGCTGTTTAGGGCTGGTGCTTCTC